CTTGCCTGCCCTCCAGGAGCAACTGCTATTCTAACGTTTGTCATGATTTCCTGGCTCCCCTCTCCTTATCCTATGGTGCTGGAATCTAGGCAGGTGCTCTACCACTGAGCTATAGCCCCACTGTTTTTTTAAAATAGTTTGTACATGGTGATGTGCCCTTTCCAAATGCTACTGGCCAGTTTCACCTGTTCTTGAGTTTTATGTGAATGAATCGTGATGAATATGAGATATGCTTTGCCAGAAATGTGTGTGGATTCACCCATGTTTTAGATACAGGTCATCTGTCTTCACTGACTTAGAAAGTTGTGTGTGTGCTTATCTAACACATACAACAGATCGTGAATTTATCTGTTTTACTCTTTATTGATGAAATTAGAGTTGCTTACAGGTTTTGGCTACTGTGAGAAATGCACTCTGAATATTTCCCACGAATTTTTGTAGGGTAACGAGAGATGGATTTGGCCCTCTATATCTTTGGGTTCTGTATTCACAGATTCAAGCAACCTTGGGTGGAAGATATTTGGGGAGAACAGGTTCAGGGTTTTCTGCTTGTCTTTGTTATGTAACAGTACTGTCTTACCAATGACTTATACAGCATTTATGTTGCATTTGGTGTTACAAATAATATACAGGTAGTGTAAGATACACAGTATGTAGCTTGAATGTTAATATGATGCCACCTTATGTAAGGGACTTGAGATCCTCAGATTTAATATCCACAGAAGGGACAGGGCCAGTACCACATAGACTGTCCTGTGAACCTTCATCTTCACTAAATACTATTAGCCTACTTTCCAAAGCATACTTCTCTGACTACTAACAAAATTGAGTACTTGTTAGTTGTTGGAATTTCTTCTTTTTCGAGTTGCCCACCTAAGTCTTTACCTATGTTTCTGTTTTACTTACTAATTCATAATTGTTCATAGACTATGCTTTCTACTGATATACTCATGTAACTGAAGACCTGTTTATATACTAACAAGGTTTATAATGGAATTTTTGTGATTCAAATGTAATTTTTAATTACTGCTGGAGATAGTTACTCTTTGGGCAGGCTGAGTGATTTCAAGCCAAGACTGATTAAAAGAGGTAAAGAAGGTCACTGCAACAATTCAAGAGGAAGAGATAACAGTCATAAATATTATATGCAACAAGTACCAGTGCATCCAACTATATAAAACAATTACTAATGGACATGAAAAATCAAACCAGCTCTAATACAATTGTATTGGGAGACCTCAATACCCCACTGTCACAAAAAGACAGATCAACTAGACAAAAAATCAATAATGAAATATTAGAACTAAACCAGACTTTTCAACAAATGGACTTAGTAGATGCTTATAGAGTGTTCCACCACACAACATCAGAATACACATTCTTTTCAACTGCACATGGGACATTCTCCAAAACAGACCATATATTGGCTCATAGAACATGCTTAAGTAAATGCAAAGGAATTGAAATGATCCCATGCATACTACGAGACTACAGTGCAATGAAATTGGAAATCAGTGGCAAAAGAAACCACAAGAACTTCATATGCACATGGAAATTAAATAACACCCTACTGAACAACTGATGGGTCACAGATGAAATTAAAGAAGAAAGTTTTTACAATTGAATGATAATGACAGTACAACATACCAGAACTTATGCGACACAATGAAAGCAATTTTAAGAGGCAACTTTATAGTAGTAAATATCTATATCAGGAATACAGAGCAAACACATATAAACAACTTAATAATGAACTATAGACTTCTAGAAAAAGAAGAGCAAGCTAAACCAAAAGCTCATATGAAAGAAGAAATTATAAAGATCAGAACAAAAATTGACACACTGGAGGAAAAGAAACCCAATCATTGAATCAAAGAGTTGATTCTTTGAAAGATTAAATAAAATTCACAAACCTTTATCCAACCTTATCAAAAAAAAAGAAAAAAGGGGAAAAACCCTCAAATCCATGCAATTAGGAATAAAAAGGGTGAAATCACAACAGACCCTGCAGAAATCCAGAAGATCTATACCAACTTTGAAAACTTGTATTCTAATAAGATGGAAAATACAGAAGAAATGGACAAATTCCTAGATACATATGAATTACCAAAGCTGAATCAAGAAGATATAAAAACCCTAAATAAACCAATATCAATCAATGAAATTGAAGATGTAATTAAAAACCTGCCAATAAAGAAAAAACCCAATTTCTTTCCTGAAAGAAAGCATTACCCTGATAGCAAAGCCAGAGAAGGGCCCAGCTAAGAAAGAGAATTCCAGGCCACTTTTCCTAACAAACATAGATGCAAAAATCCTTAGTAAAGGTACTGGAAAACATACTGCAGCAAATTATTAAGAAGATTATACAACAAGACCAAGCTGGATTCATCCCAGAGATGCAGATGGTTCAACATATGTAAATCCATAAGTGTAATGCACCATATTAACAGAGCCACAGACAAAAATCATATGATCATCTCAATAAATGCAGAAAAGGTTTTGACAAAGTCCAGCACCCATTCATGATAAAAAACCCTACAGAAAATTGGAATAGATAGTCTTTATCTCAATCTGATCAGAGCCATCTATGACAAACAGCCAACAGCATACTAAATGGGCAAAAACTGAAAGCTTTCTCTTAAAATCAGGAACAAGACAAGGGTATCCACTATCTCCACTCTTATTCAGCATGTTTCTGGAGCATTAAGACAAGAGAAATAAAAGGAATAAAGATAGGAAAGAAGAAAGCTAAACCATCATTATTTGCAGATGACATGAAACTGTACATAGAAGACTCAAAAACTCCACCAAAAGACTAGTAGGTTTAATAAGTATATTCAGTGACAGAGCTAGATACAAAGTCAACACTCAAAAATCAATAGCCTCCCTGTCCATGAATAATAAACTCATTGAGAGAGAAGTCCGGGAAACAACACCGTTAACAATAGCATCCAAAAAAGTGAAATATTTAGAAACTAATCTAACGAAGGATGTAAAAGATTTGAAAACTAAAGTACTCTTAAAAAGGAGATTGAAGAGGGCTGGGGATTTAGCTCAGTGGCTTACGTGCCTACCTGGCAAGTGTGCGGTGTAGGAGATTGAAGAAGGAAGATACTAGAAAATGGGGAGATATCCCATATTATTAGGTAAGAAGACCAAATATAGTGAAAATGGTCATCCTTCCCAAACTGACTTTTCTGAGGTCATTGAAGAGAAAAATTTGTGCTGGATTTGTTCATACAATTGAAGGCAGATGTCTTGTGCTCTGGGTGAATGATTTGGGCGTGACAGTGCACAATGAGAGTCCCATTGTTATACACTGATTGGCATGTTATGAAATTTTGTAGCATTTTGTTTTCTTTTTTTCTCTTTGAAATAAAATAGATTTTAAAAAAATAAAAATAAACTACTGCTGATGGAATTTACCTAAAAGTTACTCTTGAGACTTATTGAAAAGATCATCCTGTTTATAATTGTGCATTTGGATAGCAAATCAGTTTAATATATATATATTAACTGTTCTTTTGTGTAGGTTGTAGATTTTAAGAAAGATCTAGGATTTTTTGTCAGCTTTGTCTTACTGTCTTCTTATGTTCAAATAATTATTTTATGTGGCATTTTTCATTTTGCTATAAGATATCACAGGCTATTAAACTCTAAGCAAAATCAAAAAGGAAACATTTTAATTTTAAGTCCATTTTTGGCCAGGGGACAGTGCTGGGGAAAAGCCCAGACTTTATTCATGCTAAACAGTTCTACTTCTGAGCTGCATCACCAGCCCTGAGCAATCAGTCTGAATGTCCAAAAGCAAACTCAATAGCTAGACATGTTGAATTGACTGTAAACTAATACTTTTTCATGCCTATTCATGGGCTAGGAAATTGAAAAGCAACTTATTTTCTTTTAAAACATGATTTATTTTTAAAAAGGCACACATTCATTGACAAATGAATCCAAATAGAATAGTAACAAGAGAAAAGAGGTCTGCCCCTCACAAGTGATGGCTACTGTTTGCGCGTTTTCCAATCAGCTCTATGCGGCACACACTTGGGTAACACTGTGACTATGAATCCCATGTCACCTCTCATCGGCGAGGTCTTCAAAGCCGCAGTGTACCAGAATGTGGACACAAGCTGGGGGAATTGGTGGGCCAGCACCAGCATTCCTCTTTCCTTGACTTTATTTTTTGCACTTTCAAGAGAAGTATGAAAATAGGAGAGGAAAATGGGGCGTGATTATTTATATTTCTGCTTTGCCAAACCACTGAGACAGGCTTTCCCAAGAGAAAACTCAAGATTAAAATTAAGCATTTTGTTGAGGCAACTTCCAAATATACGGTGCTTTAAAGGGAACTGCATGAGAATCAGCATTTCCCAGAGGGCATCCCATGAGCAAGTATTCTGTGGTCAAGACAGTGTGGAAAATACAGGCAAAGTGATGCAGGTTCCTTCTCGAAAGGACCCCAGCATGCTTGCTGCATCTCCTGGGCAGGGAGAAGTGGCCGATGAAGTTCCCTTCCACTACGGGACCCTTTCTCACAGAGAGGTCCTTAACCGGAGGTCTCTAAAAAATCTGGGAAATGCTTATTTGACTCTGCGGTTTATGTATATGAATAGAGCACTTTTCTGGTTATAAAAATAACAATCATTTTTAAAAACTTGGTAAATGGTTAAAAGTATGGCAAACAAAGTTAAAACTCCTCTTAATTGAACCGTTAGAGAAAACCAGTATTCAGGTGTATTTTGGCATATTTTTGCCACATCATTACCTCTGTGTGTGTCTGTAAAATATGCTTATATTTCTTAAGCTGGGCCTGGGGAAGCAGTGTGAACATTCCCACTTTCCCTTCATCCAGCCATCCCTAATTTTAACACATCCCTAATTTTAATCTAAGACTTCCTCTTTTTATAACTAAGTGGCTTTCTGACTCTGCATCTAAAAAAAAAGTGAAACTTTGAATTTTCCATGTGACACAGCACGCCTCACCTTTTCCTTCATAGGTTACTACAACAACAGCACGAAGGTGGCTGTGAAGACCCTGAAGCCAGGCACAATGTCTGTGCAAGCCTTCCTCGAGGAAGCCAATCTTATGAAGACGCTGCAGCACGACAAGCTAGTGAGACTGTATGCGGTGGTCACCAAGGAAGAACCTATCTACATCATCACCGAGTACATGGCCAAGGGTGGGTACCCCAGCGCCTGCCTGCCTGCCTTTCTCTGTCTGTCTGTCTGTCTGTCTGTCTGTCTGTCTGTCTGTCTTTCAAGGTGCTTGGGATTGTGCCACAGGCCTGACACTTGCTAGGCAAGCACTCTGCCACTAAATTATATTTCCAAACTTTAAAAGTTTAAAGGTTTCAGATTCAAAGGATCTTTAAGAGGTTTCAGACTCAAAAACCAAACATTTTTAATTTTTCAATAACATATTTGCTATTGAAAAACTAAAAAAATGAGAAAACAAAACATTTTTTATAAATCTACTCATGAGAATGTAACCCATGTTCTAAAATTGATATATAATTCTTGTATTTTCTCTCCATCTGCTTGCATATGCCTGTTAGCTCCAAGAATAGTACCACGTACCTGAGATCCTACTAAATGAAATATTTGTCGAGTAAATGAATATATATTTCACAGGAAAACATTTTTGTTATGTGCTTAAAAGGTGCATACTCAGAATGATATAACCAGCTCATTTGTTCTTCAGCATTATCAAAATGCTCAGGATTATGGTGAATATGGGAGCTTAGGACATGGCTCAGTGGTAGAGTGATTGGCTAGAATTCAAGAACAAGTTAATGTATCTACAACACGTGGCAGTTAAATTCATATGGAATCATAGAACATCTAAAGAAGAGGTTCCAAACAAAAGTCTCCCATTGTTACACCTTCAGGTAAAAGGCTCTGATCACCATCCTTCTTTTGCTCACTTGCATCCAGTTTTGCAGAGATACTAATAAACTTTTAAATAATTTGAAAAAAAAGGAAAATATCTTCAGAAATGAGAAGTGAGTGGAAACAAGCAACACGAACATTTCAAAATTAATAATCACTCATCCATAATGAAGATTATACTTTACATAGCCAAAGAGGTTAGAAAGATAAACTCTTTTAGGCTCGTTAAACATTTAGGCTCTTTAAAATTAAAACATTTAGGCTCTTTAAAATTAAAAAAAAAAAAAAAAACATGTAGGAATAGCAGCTCCTCAGAGTCCTTCCAAAAAGACCTTCTAAAAACAAAACCAACAAATCTAACCTGTATACCTTGGGTTACTAGATTCCAGAAACTAGGCTCAGGGCCAGATGCTTTGTGGTTCAGTAAATGTTGCTGAATTAATTAACACTATCTTTAACCATAAATATAGCAATGGTGTTTTCTTCATAACAATACATAACATTTGGAGCGCTCTGCCTCTTAGATTGCTCTCTATACCTTCCACAGGTGATCTCTTCAGCACCCAAGGACTAAGTACTATTGTTCTGTGTCATAGATGGCATAGTATAACATTTATTGAACACTTACTGTCTGCAAAACACAGTGTCATGTGCTTTTAATCCATCCCTGATTACATCCACACCAGGACTCCAGCAGAGCTACCAGGCCCACTCCTGTTACGGACACTTACTAAAGTCAGTGACTCCACCAAGGCTGCTTAGAAGATTGGGGCTTAAATTCCAGGGAAGTAGCAGGTCCTGTTCTAGAGATGAGTCCCAGGAAGTGGGAGACTTTGCCTATCAGCCTACCATGATTTAGGTCAGTCTGACCCTGTCCGGGCACAGTTGGTTCCTCAGATACTGCTGAAGGGCACCTATGACATGCACAGAATTCTGTGCCTTTTCCTGGAGGCATTGGGAATGAGCCTCGCCTGGCGTCTGCAAGAGGCTCCCTCTGTGAGGACTTGCTTCCATTCGTCCTGTTACAGAGGCCCTCACTGAAGAACCGGCTCTGGGAAGCTCATTTTGGCAGCAGGTACTTTGACATGTATTATTCCTACATGCACTGGGAGAACAGTGTTGTCCACCAGCACCCTTCCTCAGCTGGAGCGCATGCCATACTCAGCATCAGACCAAAGGTGAAAGCCTGGAAGGAGCTGAGTTTGACCAATCTCAGGAAAAGACCGTCTAGAACTGCAGGCCAGGGGTTTTGTAGGGTCTTCCCCCAGCAGTTGTGATATTTGAATTTTGTTTGGATTTCTTTCTTGTGTGCTGGAGCCGCGCTTACTTGCCCTTCCTGTGTCAACAGGCAGTTTGCTGGACTTCCTCAAGAGTGACGAAGGAGGCAAAGTGCTGCTCCCAAAGCTCATTGACTTTTCTGCCCAGGTAAGAGATTAAACAGCCCAGGCTGCATGCAAATTTGCAGCAACCTCCCTGCTTCAAATTCAGGATGCAGTTACCATTTCGAGGAAAAAGTTTCCTTTGAGTGTTTCCAAATGTGGCTATGAGGAAAAAGTTCTTCTAAATTATTACACTTCCTTGGAGACAAGCACAGATGTTTCACACAGAATGTGTATGAGTGTGTGTGTGTGTGTGTGTGTGTGTGTGTGTATGCGCGTAAATGTGTGTCCAGATTTGACATGGTGTCATCTTTTGTAACACAGGGAAGCCTCTTCATGCTAGTACTATTTCCTCACCAGTCACAGAAACAGTGTGGCTGAATTGGTCCCTTTGCTCAGCATTTTAGAAAACCATTCCCACGCCGTGTGACTGCAGCAACTTTTAAAGCATGCCAATAATTGTGTTTAAGCTGTGATTCTAAAGGGCAGATACTATTAAGATCTCAGCATCCTCCAAAAAAGGAAATACATTCCTTTTCCTGTCTTTCTCCTTCTCATTCTTTCTTGTTCCATGTGTCACTAGCATTCTGAAAAATACCTATTATAATATTGCTAGTACTAACCTAGGGGTTGCTCATTCGTTTATTTTGGAATCATGCATTTCCTGAGACCCATGTCAGCACAGAGACACATTACCTAGAACACGGCCATGTGCCCAGCATATCAAGGAAGAGTACGTATGAATGATGCCAGCTACTGACTTTTAATAGTTTCATTGTGTCTATTAGTCATGATTAGTCACCTGCTGATTTTGTTCCTCCGTGGTGGCCATGGGTGGTTATGCGAGGAAGGCTGTGCACCGTATGACCCATAGTAAGCGCACAAAAGCCTTACAAGACCTTCTAGGAAAAGGTTGCCTATTTCTTCCCACAAACGTTCTTCCAGTTGGGAAACTGCTAAAGGCTTTCCTGAGAAGCCAAGATCAAAGGAGTAAGTGGGTACACAAGTAAAGTGCTTCTAGTAAAATGGGATCAGAATACTCTGCTTAGGCGGAAATGGAGAGTAACATCTCCTGAGCAGAATTTGTGTCCTAGCCTTGTCACCTTCAGAATGTCCTTTGCTTTTTTAGTTTACTTGGCCATACAACAGGAATGGTATTTCCTACTTCAAGGAGATAGTGGAGGTCAGAGCAAAGGCGCGATCATGGACCTATGCCCTTCAGAGCCTACTGGTGAAAGCCAAAACCCCACTATCCCAGAGATAAGTGAACCAGGAAGTCACCCACTCACCCCGCCCTCACGTGCCAGGACCTGGTGGGCTTCCCAGCTTCCTCATCTGAGTAGAAACGCAAATGTGAACCGGAGAAGCAAAACTGCTGACGTGAAGTGGAGGGGAAGGAAAAGGACCGAGCAGGCATGGTGACCTCAGACACCCTGTGCTGGCCCTGAGCGCTCCATGGGACTCCAGAGGTTGAAGGCTGTTGTTCTGTAATATAGGGAAGGGTAACGTGGCCAGTGCAGCTCAGATCTTGGGTAGATAGCAGGACGAAAAGGAGAGACAGCAGAAGTCGTAAACTTGTGTTGACTTGACACAGATAAATGAGGCCCTCTGCTGGGGTGGTGGTTTGGGTGTCTCCTATTTAGATAAGAGCCTTGAAGAATGTAGTAAAAGTTCATAGCACTGAACAAGGATGTGGACACACAGCCTGGAGGTCTGCATGGTGAGTGCTGTTCCAGCCTATCAGAGGGCCTAATCTGTGCCCACAGCCCTACGGGGTACACTAGACACGCATCAGGGTGTGTATTATGTCTGGAGAATGACCTCCTTTTGTCACGGAGTATTTTGTATTTATCTAGCTTATCTCATAAAGTATTATCTTGTCGTAGTCAAAAGTTGTCAGGCCCGAGTCAAAGCGTCTGTGATCATGTTCTAATTTAACTTTGTACTTGCTATTATTACAAATGATAGTTTTTTCTGACTTACAAATGAAGAAGGGGAGGGGAGTTCTTTCCTAAATCTCTGTGGCTCACAAGCAAGATGATCACAAAGCCGGACGCTGGCCATGACCTCAGAGTGGATTCCAGGCAGCTAAAGTGAGCTCTGCTGTGATGGCCTGGGCCTGCTCCATGGCAGGGTGGGCTGAGCACAGTTAACCCCCGTCTCTGTGCTGACCCACTGACCACATCCAGCTCACGCTGGATGAGCTTTTGGGTGTCTTTCAGTGAGGGCAGTGGCTGTGGGTGAACTGGTGAAATGTCTGAGTAAGTGAACAGAGGGCTGAGTGCCAGTGGGAGAACTACAGGTGAGCGCCCCTGAGGAAGCCTGGAGTGGGGGTCAGACCCAGGACCCGGCAGAGCCAACACACTCTCTTCTGCTGGGCTGCACTTCCAGCTGAAGGTTTGCTCCTTCACTCTCCCGCCCCAAGACCCCAGACCAAGGTCTTTGGACCGTTCCTTCCCCAGGGCACTGGGCATCAGGTGAGCAGGGAAAACGCAGCTTATTAATTATTTTTAACCTAAGAAATGTTGCTTCTTTAAAAACAAAAGGACCAAACTTAACCTTTTCAGATATAAACCTTTGTTCAAGATATAAACCTCAGTCGGACTTTCCTGATCTTTTTTGCTTTTTTTTTTTTTTTTTCTTCTTTTTCTTTTTTTATCAGTACTGGGGATTGAACTCACGACTGCCTGCTTGCACGGCAGGCGTTAATGCCTCTGAGCTAAATCCCCAGCTCCCTGATCTTCTTTCAATGTGGAGCTGATGAGACTCTGCCTCCATCTGTTGCCCCACCATGAAATAATTTGTATCACTTGCTTGTGACTTTTCTTATTAAAGTACGGACAACTGATGGGAAGGGGTCTCTCCCCTCGGAGCAAGGAGAGGGGCCGGCCTGTGTACCTTAACTGCAGTCTGAAACACATGCTCCCCCATATCTGGTTCTATCAGCCATACCTGGCACCTCACCACCGTGTGGTAATGCCCACTTGGTCTCCTTCATGCCCAGCATGCCTCATTTTTCACATACCTCTCTGAGATTCTCCCCCTGTACCAAGGAAGCCACCTTTCCTTTTCCATGATGTGCTTCAGATTAATTTTGTCACTTTCCCATAGTGAATGACATGAGAGCAGTAAAAATTATTTATTTGCTGGCCTAACCTAATAGCTGGTTCCCAGATACTGAGATAAGGCAAGCTTCCTAGACCTTTGCTGCACCTTACTATGTAGGGTGAAAGTCAGGGATAAAGCAGCAGAAGAATTACATGAGTCCAGTCGGTGTTTGAGCTCTGACTAAACAGTTAGTAGGATGTAAAATATATTGCTGCTAGCTCTCCTCTCTAAACATTGCCAATAGTCAAGAGTTATGTTCACTAAAGGTATTATTAAACTTAGCAGGTTTTCACAGCAAAGAATAGTTGTTGGAGTCAAATTAATTCAGCTTACTTAATCACAGGGGACAGGGTTAGGGACAGAGTTGGGACTTTTCCCACTGTGTGTGTGCCCTCTTCTGTCCTGTCCCCATGGCCTACTTCCTCATACTCTGTCTACTTTCCCCACCATCCCTTCTCCAGACACACCAACAGGAAGTGACTGGGCGCACATGGTGGCTGCCCCGCTCACGTGACAGCTGATTGCTTCACTTCCGGTTGCAGGTCAAATTTCACAAGGCTTCTCAGAGCCTAAGTACAGTCTACTCTCTCTCACCATCCCTCAGCCCACAAGTCTCTCTTTCTAGTCAATAGAGATGAAGAAATTCTGACCACAGCAGATTTACTCACTGAGTTTCTCCTTATACCAGATGAAGCAACTGTGTACTTCCAGTGCTGACATAGAAAAGTAAGTGATCTCCTTTGCCAAGGAAGTCTGACATTTCAGTGCAGTGGGGTCAGTAGAATTTCCCCCAGCTTTTACCCAGATGAGAAAAGAATGGAATCATACAGTGGGGAAACTGAGAGGAAAATTATGTGCAAAATGTATAGTGGTACCATAGAGGTTAAATAAATCATCTTGTCTTTCAAATCAAATAAAACAAAACATTTATTGCTCTTTGGTGGAGAAATTACCAAAAATGAAGTGGACAATTATTCATGACAAAAATGTCATTGTTATAAATGATGGCAACAAATCACATTGATGTTAGCTCCTTTTAGTTGATAAAGCACTTCCATCTCCATCATCTAATCTGAGCCCTTGAATGCATTCATATTGTTATATATTTTGTAGAAAAATAACTGAACTTGGAGTTGTCCGGGGTTACTAAACGCACAGGCAGAATTATTTTTTTGGTTTTTTTTTTTTTTTTTTTTTTTTTTTTTGTCTTTTTCCTTTTTATCGGTACTGGGGATTGAACTCACGACTGCCTGCTTGCAAGGCAGGTGCTTATGCCACTGAGCTAAACCTCCAGCCCTCATGGGCAGAATTATTGCTACTGGATCCTGGCTCTTCCATATCCTGCTGGCACCCTGACCAGCATTCAAGTTGTTCTTGTGATCATTTTGTACCCAGCACTATAGCGATAAGACATATTTCCCCTATCAGTGTGTTTCCTATCACAGTTAATGATTTCTGTAGCTTCTCCTGCCCCCAAATCTTTATGGCCAAACATAGATCTTGCTGTCTTGTACTGATTATGCTGAGGATATATTTTGCCCCAATATTAAACAATAAGTCCCGTTTTAAGCTGGACATTAGTAAGATGAGGACAGGAAGAAACTGCAGACTATTTTATAGGAAGGCCTTTTACCATCAGAGCTTTTTTTCTTTTAGCAAACTCATTATACAGATTTGGAACCCTTTGTCATAAGGCCAGTTGAGGACCTACCAGTCTGATGGTGGCAAATCAGGAAGGAAGAGCCTCAAGGAGGGTATTGCGGGGACATTTCCAAAGTACTGGCCAATACTATCAGATGAGGTTCTTCTCATTCTGTCTGTTAAGATCCTAAGAGGAAGGTTAGAGGTAGTTAGAGGTGGGTTTTCTTGCTCAAGTTTGTTCTTTGATATTACCCCACCACCGCTGCTGCCATAATACCCTAATTCAGCAACTACTTT